AATCACGACTACTTAAGGACTCCCAGGTGCAACAGAGACTTCAAACCAGAAACTGTTTCATCAGTCTCCTAATTTGAACATTTTCTTCCCCTCAGCAAGCAGTAGAAACTCATCTCTTTAGAAAGTGCAATCAGCACAGCCAAGAAACAGCCACTGTAGATGTCACGTACCAAGTCCAAACAAGATTTCCTGAATTTAGAGAGCTCAGCAGTAACACATTTTAATCATGTTATGAGCACTCCATTTTATTTCAGCAATGTGGGGAAAAAAACCCAAAAGCAGCAACCTGCAGAACTGAAAATGAAACGCAGAGGAACTTCCCCAGCTCTGGCTCCCAGGTGCTTTCCTTCCCTGAAACCTAGCTGCGCAGAGGCTGTGTCTTCCCTCAATTCACCAAGGTTTCCTTGGCAAAGCAAGCTGAGAATAGGATTGAGGACACCACGGAGACATCCTGGCCAACATTGGCTGGACTCGATGATCTTAAAGGTCTTTTCCAACCAAATGACTCTATGATTCTATGATTGTAGAAACAGCTGATGGGACCTAAAGGCACCAAGGGTCATTAATGTGAAGGTCATCGTCTCAGTGGCTAAGCAAAGCTCTATCTAGTTATCAGCTGCCTAGAGGTTTTTCTTTTTATTTTTGTGCCTAAAGTTTGACTTCTCATCAGCCTAGCTGTGAGAAAGGATATTTATGTAAATTTCATTAGAAAATTATTTACAGCAGATTTGTTCAGTCTTTTTCTTTAATTGCTACTTTCTTATTCTTATCAATTTTAATGCCAGGCTTTTAATGTAAAATTTCTTCTTTTTTATGTTAATGTTCACCCATTGCTTATATAATTCCTTTATACAAAAACTTCCACCAATTTAAATGGTCACTAATGCACCCAGGTAATGGTAGGGGCTGGTGCCTGCAGACTGTTTCTACTGCTAACTGTACTATATGGTCTTTTCTCTGAAGCTGGAATCTGGAATGTAAACACATATAGAAGTTCATGATTTTGAATGATTTTGCTTATCTGACCACATCCAGTAGTTTTCAGCCTGTCATCTGCAGATGTCTGAACTTATCCTTAGTATACCTTAAAGCTGGCATACAGACCGTCCACTGAAAACTTTTTGGTCTTGAAATGGCAATAAAAAGTTGAAAACAGTTTTTTTGGTGACTTTGAGAGCCTCCTGGCCACTTGAAGGCGGCATCATAAATGGTGCTGCTTAGGCAATGGGTCTGGCACCCCTCTCCACCCTTGCTGTGGCTGCTATGCCTGGGGACTGATCCTGGCATGATTTGATGAGCTGGAGCAGTCTCACAAAGGAGAAAGTTGTCACAGGTAGAATCCTGGGAAAAGTTCCATAGACTTTAGGGGGCCTGGAGGTCAGCTCATATGTAAGCAAAGAGCAGATTTCTATAGAGTGGTAATATCTCTTCTGATACAAGTAGCCTTTTAAGGTCACAGAGTGCAAGGTAGAAAGAAGTCTGGGCATGTGTTGATTGCAGGAAATTGTAAAGTTTACTTGCATTTTTACTTTTTTCTGTTAGTTAAAGTATGATACTTAGTTTGCTCATCAAGTCATTTAAAAACTGTGAAAGGCAGCAAGAGAATATCCTTGGAAAATAAAAATACATAAACAGTAACTGCTAAAACGCTCCTCAGAGGATGAACGTGATATAAAATCTCTTGTGTTGGAGATCAATGTGGAGCAAAATAAAAGAAATCATCACCTCTAAAAGCGGCTTTCACTAATAATGTGTTAGCTCTTAAAGTGCACTTTATGGACAAGGCTTTTTAAAATAACCTTTTAAGTTTAAAGCTGCAAACCTAAAAAGTTTGCCTGACATTTAACAATGTTTAGCCCTCAGAAGTTCCCAGTGAAGTATCTATTTCTGAAAAATTTGTTGTTTTCAGGATAAAACTGGACATTTCTTTGTTTGCATAGCACTTCAAGGTATCATCTTCATTGTGTGTATGGAGAGATCTTGAAATGAAATTTTCCATTTAAACAGATTTGGGAGTTTCTGACCACCAAACTGGTAGGGGTGAGTTATATCTTTGAGACACAAGGTCATGCCAAACACCTTCTGGTGAGAAAGCTACTGCTTTGCCGAGGATCAGAGTGTTTTTCTTGCCCTTGTGCTCCAGCTCCCAGGGGGATCTGTCAGATGTTCACAGTGAGGTCCCCTGACTAAACAGTGGCACACTGTGTTGCTCCACACAGAAGGACACAGTGTGGTGTCCATCATGTGGTCCCCTGGTGTGGAGTCATCTCCCAAGCAGCTGGGAAGCATGGGCATAAAGTGGGAGGAAAAGCGGTAAAATGTGAGCTGGATTTGATCATGTTCCAATTTAGCAGGAAAGGCAGGGAATTAACCATGAAAACAGAAAAGGGGACTTCAATATCAATTCCAAGGAGAAAACAAAGGCGAGACTGAGCTAAAGTGTTTGCAGGAGAGAGGAAAAAAAAAAGAGAGTCTAGTCCCCAGGATGAGAGAGAAGATGGGAAATTCAAAGCTGCCAGTTAGAGAAATGAGGTAGCAGCAGCTGTGATCACTTGCTTAATCTGCAGTACGCCTACCGAAAATAATAAATTAGGTTGCATTAGCTGTAAGAGTTAAATACTTTGTTCTCAAATATTTCTCACAACTTACCCATGCCTCCCACAGAAATGAGTATGTTAGCCTGAGAAAAACTGATGTATCTAAGGCTTGGAAAGGAAAGGAAGTTGTGATGAGATTTGACATCCTGAAGGGCTTGTTCTCTGATCAGGGAAGAAACGAAGTGTTGCATTTTAAAAAAGATTTTAAACTGGAAATTTTAATTGGACCTCACTTTTAAAGTGTTTGAAATCCTCTCTGGGTACAATATAGTGCACGCAAAAAAAAGCCTGTGATATTTTGATGTTTGCTTACCTACATGCTGTCCCGAAGTATAAGAGAACATTGTGTAAATTATGAATAGCACGTGGGCGCTCTGCTGTTGCACTGCAGGAGATGCGGTTAGAAGATTTTGGAGTTCAGCATTTTGTGTCTGTCAGTAACAAACTAAGTCAAAGGGAATGACCTGAGTGCATGTCTGCAATTTATTTCTGCACAAGCTGTGGCTTGGTCTTCTGTGGGGCATTTTCTCTCTGTCTTCTTGCTTTTGCAAGAGTGTAAGTGAAAGAGACAGAGCAAAAATCCCAGCTGCAGTAACTTCCTTGGCACAATGGGTTTTATCCAAGTTGCTAGTATATTGAATACAGTAGAAGCTACAGGTTTAGGAACCTGCAGGTAGTATTTTTCTTTTTATATTACAGTGGTTAATATAAGATACCAGTGTTTGCATTGATCATCTAAGGAGAATCCATGCTTTATCTTCTTTAGCAATGAACTTTGCTCAGAAGGATAAACTGAATGGATATTGGCTTTCCTCCTTTTGAATCCTGGAACAGTATCCTTTGGTGGTCACTTTTTGGTTGTTCAAAATGTGTGATTAAAGTATTGTTGTCCCAGGTGACCAGTGTTTGGGATGGGAGGAGGGAGAGGCAAGTATGTAACACCTGGTAGAGTAAATTTGCAAATGAATTGGAATGATTTCAGATAATAACAGATGACAGGTGTAAAAGTAAAAATTGCTGATACTGAGAGAGAAAACATTAAATTGCATCTATTTAAACAATTATTAATTAAACTATTTCTGCATAACATAATATGACTCTTATTAAATTCACAAAATTCATGCAAGTAAGCATGCCCATTTAAACCTGGAGCTGCATTGTGGAGAAGAGAGGATCTCAGCTCCTGAAAAAAAAAAGTATCTGCCAAAATCCTCCGTGAGTCACAGTCCCTCTGGGCCTCAGTTTCCTCTGTAAAATAAGTAGAATAACCTGACTTTTTCCCCCGCTGAGCTGCTATATTAATGCATCTTTTTGTAAACCCAGTAGAAGGATACAAAATGTTCTAATGTTCTTGGGCTTGTTGTTCTGAGCATTTTCTATTTTGAATCCTTGTGCATTTTTAGATGGGAGGCAGAAGTGGGTCATTCCCTAGTGGTCTTATTATGGAAGTCTTTCCCTTATATAAGGACCTCTGCTGCTGCTCCTCTCCCTTATTGGTGACAGCTTTGGCCAGCACTTGTTTATTACTATGTATTTATTTGAATATGTCACAGTGGCTTCTGCCCATGGGTTATTACCTTGAACTGTAAAACAACTTTTATTAGTATTTCAGTAAAAAAGAAGGTCCTGTCACCAAAGACATAGTGGTAGCAAAAAAAATCAGAAACTCTGACCCAAGAAACCAAACCTAATTAATCAGAGCCTGCAGATAAACCCAGCTTGATGTTCAACAGTAGTTTTGATTAGTAGGGCTAGAGGCAAAGACGACCTTTTTCTTCCATGCTTAAAAAGAGAAGAAAAAAAAAATACATGTATACATTTGACACAAGCTGGTGCATGCATTGCAGATTACTTTTGTTTGGGCTGGGTGAATCACAAAACAACTTTAATGACCATTAGCTGCTCTCTCAGTGATTAAGTAAATGAACTCAAGAAAATGAACTGCTGGGTACATTCCCAAACACTTGGTACAGTTTATTAAAACTGATTGGTTTAAACAAGTGTAAATTGAGATTCACATCAACCTCTACCTATTTGGTGAATACACTTAGGGAAGACATTCCCTAGCTTGCGGAGAAGTGCAGCTAGCTTTCAGTACTGACAGAAAGTGCAAATCTTTAATGCATCAGTGTTGGTAATTTACATTCAGTATAGGGAATAAAAATCTAAAAGACATGGGTGTCTTCTGGAGCTCCAGAGAGCAGCCCGTGCGTCAGCTCAGCAATCACTGCTGCTAATGTGCTGTGTGAGGAATGCATGTTCCAGTCAGTGCCTAATGCAGTGAGAAATAAAAATCGCAGTTGTTAACACATCTTGCACTGAAATGAAATTTGGGCCTTGATGGAGAGAAACAAAAGACATGCGTACTTAGAAAGTAGAAAACATACTAAGAAGCTGCCTTACCTCCATCTAGTTCTTCAGCTCCAAAATGATTCCTGTAGAAGAGCATAATCTCTATCTTGTAACACTTGTAGATAGTCACTAAACAAACAAGCAGCAGCAGAATAGCACCAAGCCCACCAGCAAGCTCAACTGTGTACATCAGCTCTGCAAAGAATTACAAAATGCAGTAACAACCGTGTTCCAAACCAGAAAAAGATTAGCAGCAGACCTCACACTTATGTTAAACATTAAAATGAAATAATGAATGATGGGTTATTTTTTTATTTATTTCCTTATAGGGCCCTTGAAGAAATACCTAATTAATAGATTTTTTTTTTCTTTAATAAAATAGCTTTTCCACTGGGACACCATCTGAACTGCTCATTTAAAAAATAACAATTGCTGGGGACATGTGTGTGTGTATGAGTATGTGCATATATTATATATATATAAAAGAGATATTTTATAACTCTCTTTTCTCTCTCTGTAGATAGATCACAGTTTGCTTTACACAGATGAAAGCTGACATTCCACTTACAATGAAAGCAGAGGTGAATGTTTCTTTTGTGGGGGCTGTAATGCAAACACAGCTCCTCCCTTATTCCACACACAAGTACGATGAGTTTCAGTCTACTGGATAAGATTCTACTAAGGAATTTTTTTTTTAATAAAAATTGGGTTTTTTTTAAACCCCAAAACATAACAGATGTTAAGACAAATTTTCCAAGGAACCCCACAGCCCCACATCTCAACGATGCATTAACAACTTTGACAGTTTCCCAATGGTCTGCAGTTCATCTTTATTCTCCCTTTTCCCCCAGTGGGGTTGGTTTATGTGTAGTCACAGCAAACCATCCTGATTTGTCTGTTCTGACATTCCCATTCTGACCGTGACCCCAGGTGTCTTTGCTGCGCTCTGCCACTGGAGACTCATGTGATGGATTGAGATCCTCGCCGTGTAGCTCTGTTCCTGAGGACGGGGACTCTGGTCAAATGAGGCCACACCTGTCTACCACCAGCAGTATTCTCAGTGGGGCCACATATCAGTGCATAAGTAATATGCCATCATGGGCTTTCAACCCCCCCAGTCTTAACTGTTGCACACTCAAGGAAGCTCACACAGTTACGTGGCATCCATTTTGTTGTTACTTTTCATTTGCTTATTGACTGAAAAAAGGCAATGTTAAAAAAGAAGGGTGGGAGGAGGTAAAGCATCCCTAAAAATGTTGCAATTTGGAATGAGTAATAAATGACATATCTTAAGACTGCCCATACTTTTCTGATATCACTCAGTTTTGAGGAATGCCAGGAGATCAAATCTTGGAAATCCAAGATACACAGTTTGCTTCATAAAAAATCTGTCCTGGAGAAAGCTCAGTTCCGTGTTATTTTCACAGTATCCTCTTCCACTGGGCAGCTTCTTAGTGAAGCAGGGTAGCCCTGAAATAACCTTTTGTGTGTGTGTGTGTGGTTATGTAGATATGTTACCCCAGCACAATACAATTCAATTAGAGAAATAAAAGGTTAGAGGAAAAAGTGACAATTCCATTTATTTTGACTGCGTCTACTGAGAATCACACACTTTGTTATTACTTCGAGGCAACTGTAAGAAGATTTCATTGCTCTCTAGAAGACAGTAAAAGTGTAATAAAATAAAATAAAAAGGCATTTATATTCCATGTCATTCTCTCCAAAACTGTGCTGGAACCTTCTTTGTGTTAGATATTTTTAAGACCGACACGGTTATTTCAGACTTTCAATAATTTTCTGGTCCAGAGAGGGGAATGTTATTAAAAACACCCAACAAAAAATTGTTTGCATAGACAAGTAATACAGTATTTTAGAATATAAATGGAAATGGAAATTGCTCTGCACTGGCTTACTCTACCCTGTTTAGCACTTTGTACTACAGGTGATGCAGCTGTTCAATGGTAACTAGAAGAAAGGCTTTAATATTTTGGGTTGCTAGGCACAAAATATGCTATTTATGTACCTGCTGTTATGACTCATTAAAGGCAAGGAAAAACCTTACAAGCGGAAAACAAAAGTTTTTCCTAAATTAATGATTTTGCGATTAAATGGAAAAAATAACTGCAGGTAGTCATCTGTTCTCTGTCACCATGCATGAAATCAGATTAATGCACTGCCTCACTTTTGCCATCAAAGAGTCCTTCCTAGTTATCTTTTTCCCCATAAAATAATTCAAGATTATGCCTATGTTTTTACTTCCATCAGGCAACCAAAGCAAACAACAAAATTCTCTAAGTCACCCTGAAACGTACTGCTGTTGAAGGTACCTTTTCATATGCTGCTGCCAAGCCCATCGTGATCACTTATGAGCACAAGGATAAGGTGGTTCTTTCTTAAACAGATTTGTTTGCAAAGTAGGTTTCGTGCTCTATCCATCTAGCATAGCAAGCTTATGTTTTCCTCTGTGCTGTACAACATCTATTAGCACATGTTTGCTCTCGGTTTGGGCGCTATTTGTCAGCGTCCAGAGGCAGAGGGGAGCAGTGATTAGCATGGCAGACTGCTGCATCCTTACACCGAGCTCTGCGAGTGCCTGAGCTAACCCCCAAAGCACTGGAAGTGGGGCAGCTGCACCTGCACAGCGTGGTGGAAGGTGGGACAGATTGGCCGGGGCATGGTGCCGCACCAAACCAATTGCTTTCAGGCTTTGAATTAGTGTTTCTGCAGGACGCTAAACTATGCCCCGTGGGGGCACTGGCTGGCTTTGAGCTGCCACAGGGATTTTGTGAGCAGCGTTACTCTGTGCCACGCTGAACTGAAGGTGTGAGGAGTGGAAGGCTTGGTCCTGCCTCTGCTGTTGACCCCTCATGTGACTGAAGCCACTTCACATTTCTGTGCCTGGGTTTTCCCAATGTGAATTGGGGAGGGCACATCTGGCTCCTTCATAGGAGGGGTTACTCCTGAAAGGGGCTCTGCGCATGCCGGGGGCGTTGGCGAGTGGCGATGTGTATGTCAACAGTGATGTAGTGACTGTTAAAGCCAAGCTAAAGTGTAACAGCAAGGTTAGAGGGTAAGGCTACCTTCATAATAACAGTTTTTTTCTGCGGCTTTATTCTGCCTTTTGCATTGTGATTTGGGCACAGTTGCTGTGGTAGGCATTACACTCACTTTGAAGTGTGATCTACGCAAAAAAGATTCAATTTCAGCACAATTCCACATCAGAGGGGAGAGACAAAAAGTGCAAACCTTTTAAAATCTATTTAGCCTCTGTATTACGTTGCTCAAATTACAGACCTGGCCCTCCTTAAGGAGGTGAAGCTGAATATAGAAAATAGTAGAGGAAAATTACTCCGCTAACCCTTAGGGGAACAGGCATTCCGTTAAACACAACAAATGAGTGAGTGCCAGGGAGTTACATCTAGAAGCACAGCAATCATTTAGTTACAGGCAATTAACAATAGTCCTCCAGTAGCACAGGAACAGTTCTACTCCAAGGAAAAACACATTGATTACTGCTGCAGTAGTAGATTGGTTTCTGAATAAATAGCTTCAATTTAAAACAAGATTTGTTACAAGCATTTTGACCAATGGCTATAATTTTTTTTTTCCTTATTGGGAGGCTTTGGCCAAACAACCTAGTGAAGGAGACGGCTAATTAAAACAAAGTACGTGTCTTCTCCAAATATCCGGCACGATATGGCTGGTAATAAATGCACTCATTTTATACTGATACTACCCTAATTATTTGTAGGATATATCTTTGATCTTCACCTGGCTTTAATATTCGATAAACTTCTTTTCGCTGTGTCATGCAGGTAAAGCACTTATAGTAGCTGGAGTTGTAACAAGAAAGTAAATAAAAAGGGTGCCTTCAAAGATTCATATCTTTTGACGTATACAACGTGCTTCAGGGACTTTACATTTAATGATCTATGATAATTTAAAATTAATCTTATTCTATTCATTAGCCCACATACAGCTGAGCTACTAAGAAAAATAATTGTAATTCAAATATTCTTTTTTTTGTGATTTATAACTCTTCAAACACATGTGATTTATAGCTGTGTATTCAGTTTCTGAGCCTTTTTCAAAATCCAATTACAGCCTATCTAAGGTTTCAATTTTGCAATCAGTTGCACAGATTACTTAACTTCATGGACTATAAGTAATCCCTCTGAAGTCAACAGGACTATTCACAGAGCTTCAGGTTAGCACATATATAAATCTTTGCGACTTTGTGGCCTAAACTCATTTCCATTCTCTGCTTGGTTTGGATGATTTAACTCACAAAGCTACAAAGTTTGGTCAGAGACAGTTCTCAGTTTGTGTTTCATAGACTTCAATTATTAAATGAAATATAAAGGTAGTGTATATCATTTGGAAGGGGAGCAGTTGAAGACAATATTAAAGCTCTCATGATGACACCTGAGAGAAGGTAAAGAAGGCAGATGCTGGCAACCAGTGCAGGACTGATGTGTCATAACTTGCAGCTTTGGTTATAAACAGGTGTGTTGCTTCTAAAGGAAGAAGAAGGCTGGCTGACTCGTCTGAGTGTCATTTCAGACATCAGCAGTAAACGGTAGGCAGGGTTTAGGTTAGGAATAAAGAAACCCATACTCACAATTTAAAAAAAGAAGTATGTGCTTTTTTTTTTTTTCTCTTTTTTCCACTGCTTAATACAATATTCATTATGGTGTGGCTGTAAAACAATTTATCTTCCCAAAGTAAAACATATGGAACCACAGCTTTATACAGCTCATGCACATACAACGTGCATATGTATATATATAAAATCTGTTCTCTACTTTTTAGGAATTTTTGTTTGTTTGTTTCAATGTGCCAAACAAAACGTGTTTGTATTTAAGGTACCTAGATGGCTTTATAGCTACTGTTGTGAATAATTACTGATGGCTATTGTAGGACGATAATACTTCTGTTACCAGTAGAAACAGATTTGGGGTGTTCATTAGCTTGATTATCAAATAATTTCTTAGCACAATGTGTATCCTTTCTGTTGTCACAGGCCACACATGCCTGTAGATGTCTGCAGAGTTGACTTAAGGTGGCTAAATTTAGTTACAGTTTTAATATAGTTTCCAATACAGTAGTTTCATTTTATTTATTAGAATTATTGAGACCTTGTTATATCACTTAATTTTTTAGCTCAATATATAACATATGTTCCTGATTCATCT